GTAACATCCTAAGAACAATTAACTGACAATCCATTCCTTAATTCAGCAAAATTGAAAACTGGAATTAAGAATTCCAAAGAGAAAGATTAGAGGGCCTTAATCGTGACTGATACCTCACTTCTTGCCGCTTTATTTCTTTACAAAAATTATTACTGTCTTGGCGGTCCACTCTAATTAGAAAGAAAATGAAAAAAATGAAAAGTATAAGAAAAAAAAAATGAAAGTTTAAAAAAAATGAAAAGTATAAGTTAATTGGACAAAACGGATTAAATAATTTTTCATTGGATCTAGTAAACCTAAATGAATGAATGAATGAATGAATGAACGAAAACTTTTGCTTTAATCTAAAAAATATCTAAAGCGACATGAATATATTATAGCTGTATGAGTTAAGGAGAAAGGGTTATGACAGATGCATAATGTATGTAGCAATAGGAAATTTTGAATAAAAACAGAAATATTCTAGTTGTTAAAATACTCAAGAAAATTCGATTATCCCGTGTTAGACCTATCCTATCGGTGCAGCCATTACGACATTACACACCGATCATATGCAAAGCAGCTGTCGTAATTGTTTCAGAGAGTTGTAAAAGTTGAGCAAAATTGGTTTCAAAACAATTTTTTTTAATTTTTATGGTTCGCGCGCTAATCGCTTCATTTTCATTTTTCTCAGCATGCCCGGAAAGACACTTTTCAAATAATTAATCACGAATAGAATTTAAAATAAATGAACAAAAGGAAAAATTCAACCTCCAAACACACACACACACATATGCCTTCCCGGTGTCGCATATGCATGCTGAATGTATGCATGAGTGCGTGTGTGTGTACGTGCATGTATGTGTATACGTGTAAAAAAGTAAATCTTTTCAATTATCGCCAAAAAGCAAACACCGAAATATTCATAATGCTGTACAGTTGCGAAAAAAGACCAAAAGTAAATAAGTAAAGAAATGAATGTGAAATGTAAACAAATTAATTACTTGGTAATCAGTGGATAAACCAATCACTTTATTACCTGTTCATCTCAGCATGTTTCACTACGACATTGACGAGAATTCATGAAACTATGAACAATGTGAGTGAGAAAAGTGAAATACAAACAAAAAGAAGTGGAGAAAGGAACAAAGACATGAACAGATGGAAGAACTATTCCTTCCCAATGATGGAGTTATCTCTGGAAAGGAAAGTAAACTGTACGATATGCGCTTCAATCATCATCTATCAAACGATCCCAATCATTTCTCGATTATTCTAATGAGGCTATTTTTCAATAACCATTCCAATTCATTCATCCAACAATGGAGAGAGAGAATAAAGTATCTTTGATGTCTTCTAACTTAAATTTACTTCGGTACATATTTTCATCCTACTTATTTAAGGATTAACTTCGTTAATGAACAGATTACGATAATAAAGATGAGTTAGAATAAAAATATTCTAAATTAAATAAGATCGGATAGTTTTAGTTTCTTCCTTAACTCGGTTATTTTTTTAAGTAATGAAGCAAAATTTGCCAACTGTATCGATTCTACAGTTTTTAATCTTTCCCGCTTATCCGAAGATTAGGAAAAACTCCAAAAATATTTTCCAGCCAATTGATTCTTCTATCCTACAGAACAGTGAAGTGCACATTCTAAACTACAGATGGCTTCTTTCATGCTTATTAAGCATACAACTTACATCAGAGATCCTGAAAACAATAATTTATGCGTAAATATTACTGAGAAAACATTGTTGGAATGAATGATATGAGTACAGTGAAGAAAAGCGCCATCGAGTAGTTAAGTAAATAATGAAAGCTTACCATTTCCGAGGAACTGGAAAGGAATGTTTGAAAAGTTTGACGACATTGACGATCTTCATCCTCATGTGCACTGACAAAAGAGTGAACAAAACGATTCTAACTGTTTTCGGAGGTATATCTTTTCCTCAACTTAAAAATAGTTGACTTTATCACTGAAAATGATTCCATTAATCAGCAACATGAATTATCATTTAGCAGGAACGAGAGAGTTCGAGAAACAGTGAAGCAATATCAATCTGTTCTCTTCTTTTCATCTCTAAGAAACATCTGAATCTTCAGTAGTGACTAAACTCATATTTAATAAGATGCCAATGCGAACTGTCAAAGCCTTTAAATTCTTATTTTCTAACCATCAAAAATCCTAAATAGCATATATTATTCCAAGAAGAAATGATAAGGAAGAAAGATATAACAGACGAAAGAGTTGAACATCAAAGGAAACTTTGAGCGATGAAGGAAATAATTCGGAATAGGAATGACATAAACCTATAAATTGTGGCCCAATTATTCGGGAAAGGAATGTTATCAAATTTTGGAGAAGTAAATTTGCATATATTCAAAATAGATCACTCGCACAATTTGACAGTTCACCAATCAATTCCACATGGTACCAGTGAAAAGCACGAGACATACCTTTGCACTGAGGAACTGGAAAGCTGAACTGAATAGTGTAGAAATACAGAAGGAGGGTGGACAGAGGGTCGATGGAAGAAGGAGGAGAGTGCGGGTGGGGGGAGTGAGTGACTGACTACATCCTTCTCACAGAGACCAAGATAAAAAGGGTTCATGTACAGTGCACACTCACACACTCCTAACAGAGTGAATGTTGTCCGTCTCCCCACTGTGTCTGTTTTTCTCCCGAGATGTACCCACGGGCTGTTATCCCGTGACTGTAATATTCAATACTGATTGTACTAATCTCTTTACGCCTTACTCTAAAGAGACACCCTTAGAATGGGTGTTTCGTTCTGTATAATGAAACGAGTTTTCTTGTCTCTCTCATTTCATTATTTCTACGATAACAACGATATCACTGATAGGATAAGCCTAATTAATCGAGATCTAATCTCTCATTGCCACTCACTTCCTTCAAATTTTTAAATTTATCTCCTCTTCATATATTTTAAACAAAATAAAGGCAATTCCCATTACATTCATATCACTGCCAACCATAATAGTTCCACTGATGCACCACATATTTTTATTCGTTCCAATTTTTCCAAAAATTCGAAAAAGTGAATTGTTATTGTCCGACCTGTCCTGATTAAAATCACTAATGACAATGCAGCTGAGTAAAGGAATAACGATGATAGAAAGAGCTATTTTAATCAAAAGCTGTCCACTTCTACGATAAGCAATAAAAGAGTGATTTGATAGTAGCAGCAACAGGAATATGGGACGGAATGGAGCCAAAAGAGCATATACCTATCATCGATCTCACTTCTTTCCAACTCTCCTTCCAAACCAACAATACCTTCCTAATCAACCTAATGAAGTATAGTTCTTCATAGTAATGGTAGGGGTGATGACACTGATTGCAGTCATGATAATGATGAATAAATAACAGGAAGGGACCGTTATCGAGAGATGTGTTGGGAATGGTTAACGTTGGTGTATTCATGACGGGTCATTCACTTCATGTTGGGAGATTATCGAAAAAAAGAGGAAATGTGTTGTAACAAACAGCGCACCTCAATCAATCCTTTAAATTTATACTGCAAACATAAAAATTACTGGTGTATGGTTTGGAAAACAATAATTTGTGAACTAAGAATCATATTTTGTAAAACAATATTCCAAAAAGTGGAAAAATGGAAGAACATGAAAAAAGATTTGAAGAAAAAGGAAGTAATCTAAAAACACAGCAACCTTTGATTCAGCGAGCATCACTTCCCCTCATTGGTCAACAAGGCAAAACCTCCCTCTCGATACTGAATTCCAGGAGAATTTAATGAATAAATATATATATACGGAAATCGGTCCAAATGAAATAAAATCCAAAATCAATGCGAGAAAACATCCCTTTTGAAGCATAAAAATGATAATTGACAAAGCCTCGTCTCATTTATTTGAGTTTTCACTGATAGTTTAGAAACAGTATTTAAAGAATAAAAATGTCCTATGTGTTGGTAATGTCAACCAAGCGGCAAACATTTCTACCGTGTTGATGACCTAAAAAGTAGGGTAGGTTGGATAAATAATCTATTTAACCAGTTCAGGAATACGAGTCATGGAAAACTTGTTTCTGGATAGCAACAGGATAGATGGTTACACTTGCAAGTTCATATCTTGTTTGAAACTTCAAATTTAATTTCAGGAAATAAATGCACATATCCTATGAAAAATATGCAATACAAACTTCCTAAGGCATTGCTTGTTAAGTTTTTTCACATTCTTTTCTGACTTTATTTGTACAGGCAGCATTGTACAATCTATATAAGCAATAAAAAATTTCACGGCTTGTGATCTAAATTATTTATCTATTTAAGACAGTACGTTTTTCTGATTAAGGCAAATCAGACAAATTTATTGAGAAATATAGTATGTTTCCATGAGATGATGTATATTGTATTTTGAGATCACATTACTACGAAGTCGCGACTTTCTAAAAACAAATTTAACTACTTCCCTTTAACTAACAGAAATAGTCAATAAGAAGTTATTTGTAAATGCTATTAAAATTTTTGAATAAATTCAGAAAATTTTTTCTATTTTCAGCTTGAAGGAAAAAGAAAAATTTTCTCGGAATAATATATCTATGTCCAGCACACTAATTTATCGGTTATGATAATAGCTAAAGTTCAATAATCGAGACAAGTTGCTTATATCAGCACTAATTTGATGCCCGCTTGAAGAGATGTTAACAATTATTCAAGAACATTGATGAACATTCTATGAAAACGCTGAATGGCAACAGACAAAATTCAAAATTATTGACAGAAAAACCAAAAAAGATCATTGAGATTTATAATTTCGATGAAATATTAATCATAAGAGCGTACGCTAAACTGACAACACAGAACCGGGAAGCAGACAGAATTCAACCATACTGAAAGCCCAATAGATCAAAAACGAAAAAAAATCAAAAAAAATTAACCTATCGTAATTTAAGAAAAAAATGCTGTGTAACTGGATCAAATATATCGAAATCTCAACTCTGAAGCAATACTAACCATTTGAATGTAAGCAAAATCTAAAGTATTAATTTGTAATAGCCATTACAATCTTGTTTCGAGTATAGTACAATGGGTGAGGTATTTTTGGCTTGAAAGAATGGTTCAATCATTTCCTCTATCCGTTTAAAGTCCCGCTTAAACTTGTTTAGTTGTTTTATAGCAGTTGCGAAAGCACTCGAAAGTTCGTCTACTGTGAAGCTACGATCGATAAGTGTTGAAAGCAGACGAATTGCATCCACTGAGATTTCCGTGACGATCACTTCAATCACTGTCTGAGGCGCCAGTGCAGTAACCACTTTTTGTAAACAAGCACGAATTTGAGTCTAAAAATTTTAAAAAGGTTTCAATTTAAATGAATTAATTCAGAACTAACATGACACAAAATCTCACAAAATACACTCTAAATATTATTCGAAATTAACATTATTTAACATCCAAAGAATATGGAAATTTATTTTTCTATAATAAAGAGAAGTTTCACATTGTATTCATGATTTTATTTAGAAAAACAAAGAAACCTACCTCATTTCTTTTTCGGATATGAATTGCCGGCTTTTCGCTTAAAGCATATCTTACGTTGAGGTTAGCAAGAGTAGCAGCTATTGGTAGTGTATTGACCGAGTGTCTTACAGGCGAATTGGTATTTAGTACATGTGGAAATGCTTCCAAAAAAGATACACCATTTTGATGAGTCTCAAACTTGTTTAAAATTTCATCGAATGTAAGCTTTCCCAAGTCAATTCCATCAACGCGAACTAACACTTCATCATCTCCGCACACCACCAGCAGTATCTTGATATTCATCTCGCTACAATGCTCCTGTGAAGAATTTCAATTCAATCAAAATGAAATCAGATCAAACGTTGATGCATCATGTTACATCACTAACAAGAACATAATCAAAGACTGCTTTAATAATCGTTTTCCTATTATGGAAAGCGCAGAACATGGAGAGCAGGAATTGCTTTAAATTTTCAGCTGAGTTTTATCTTCTAAATTTCATTATTTTCGTCTGTAACATTACCGTATTCTTCAAACAAAAACAACATTTCACAATCTCCCTCGTTCCTTTCCTCCCTTCCATCAGTCGAAACAATATAAAAAAATAGTAAAAGGAAGTATTTAGAAGTGTCTTAAAACATAAGAAAATGAACTTAAAAATGCCAAGAATTTGAATGAACATTACATCAAGTTCCGTTATCCGCAATGGAGCAATCGGGCTATGCAAAATATCAGCTTGGATTCCGCGTGACCACATATGTTTCGCCAAATTTGCAGTTGTTTTCAGGAATTGATCAGAGATTGAACAAACTAATGTTTTGCCACAAATCGATCCAAAATCTAACATTGAGATTAGAATTATCCTAACTTTGAATTTCCATTAGAAGAAGAAATTATTAAAATCAGAATTTAAAAATTTACAATGATATCACCACTCCACCAATAAAATGCATGGAATGCTTTGAAGGTTAGCACAATAATTCCTTTGTAACAGACCCACATTTATTTTCATTTTTCATGCCCTTGCTAAACAACCAATAACTTCATTAAATTAGAAATTCGAAATTAAAACATTTAATATTATTTGCAGCTGACAAATTATATGCGATTATACAGCCTTGGGTAAAATTACCTTGTTTATTTATACAGCAAAACTGGGCAAGAATATCGAGCGAGATACTGCATCCAACCGCACACAGTGGACTGGGAGGAATTAGATCGTGTGCATGACGCTCGTCTTCTAGCAAAGTATCGTACCGACCTATAGGTGAAAACTGCCAATCCCATTACATCTCTTTGCTAAAAACATCTCTCACACTTCTTTGCTTCAAAAATTAGTGGTGACAAACTAACCGCCAGCACCAATAATGATAGGTCGCGTTGTTTGTCTATGGTGGAAGAGTACTCGGAGTTGAAACATGAGACCACTGCAGTATGTATGCGGCCGATAACAGAGAGTGCCATCGAATAAGATGTGTTCATTCATATTATCTGGAAATAAATATATAATGAATATATGCCACATTATTCTATATAAAATGAGGAAGTCTGTATCATAGAATATTATCCATTTAAAACAAGTGAAAGAATTTACTTTTTGAAATATTCCGCCTCCTACATAATCTCATCAAACATTTTGCAAAAATAACAAAGATGACCCAAGATTTGGACTACAAAATAACGTATCCAGGTTTCTATCGAAAAACTTAAATAATTAAAACAGTTACCAACGAAATATTCTAACAGTACGGCTAAATTTGTGAGGTCACTTAACGCCCTCTTGGCATGCTTTTGAACACGACCATCACGGCAGTTTACCAGACATTCCGCTCTTGCCGTTAAAGCCTCTAATGTGCAGTTGTCGCCTTCCAGAATATTCAGTAGTGAATTTGCTTGATTGAACGACATTTCGGTACCGACTCGAAGTCTCTCGATTTTTTGTTCATGAGTAAACGTTTCTAAAATTAAAAAAATTTTTTTTTAAATACTCAAAATTTCTAAATTATCAGTACCGGATACAACTTATTCAAAAAAATTAACTATTTATTTTTGACTTCTGATATAACTCACAATTCTAGACAATTCCACCATCCGTTTTTCATGTGGGTCTAAACCATTATAGATTACCGACATGCCACACTCGATAGTCTATTATTAACAAACACTCACCTTCTTTGAATAAGTAATATATACATGTATTTCTATAATTCCGAATACTCAACATTTGTTGCTATGTTGGATTTTGAGAAAAACAAAATTTCCAACAATAAAAGAACAACAGCATTGTGATACAACATTCGCAAAACTAACTATTTGATGTTGCAATCGCATAAAGAATATTCAATATTTTGTTCTGTGTGTTGAAATCACCGAAACCGAGATAAAGAGCAGTGGCAACAACTAAATCCCGATGTCCTAACCGGATTTCCCATTTATACAACGATATACAATCAAGTTGATGAACTGTCTCGACCGTAATGCAAAGTATATCGGCCGTAAGCATTTGAGATGAACTTACCGGACCCACAGCATCAATGGCGAACTCGATACGCTCAACAGGATGCATGCTAACTGCAAACATATTGTATGTAAAAAAGCTATCAAATCACAAATGTAATTTTTTTTTCTAATTACAAGAACGGGATAGACTTTGCTAATGTATCATACTTATTATTTACCGTCAAGGATAGGAAAAATATCATTTATAAATGTTTTGTATAACTTTTACACCATAATATAATGAAATTTAAACAACATTCAACTGGCATGTTGTGCAGGTATGCAAACTGAAGCCTATATTTTTATAGATTAAATGACCTAAACTAGTTAATTACATACAGCTAAGGATTAAGAATCATATATTACACTAAAAACAGTGTTCTGAAAATCTAATGACGTTGTTGGTTGATATTTCGAATCAAATGGCAATCGAAATTACCGAAAACGTAATATGGAACGTTTCAATCTCAACATGAATCAATTCATACGCAGATGAGCATGTCATATTGCCAAAAAGTAAAATTTTACCAAGAGCATCAGGACGCCCAAATACTTTACCACAACCATATCTTTTCAAACGATTTACCCCGTTGCGAACGCAATAACGTGCAAAAGCTCGTCGTAAGTCATACTAAAAGCATTACTTCATTCGAAAGATGGTCATATTATTACGATAAAAATGACTGCACATTCAGTAAAGCTAACCATTGTACTTGGTTTGGCGTCCTTAATCTGTTCATTTTAAAATAATTATTGATAGTTTACTCATAACAACTAGAGCTACTTGAACTTTTCCGTATGTACGGCTTACTAAGCATATCAATCTATTTTTTTAATATATTGTTTAAAATATATTGTTTAAAAAAATATATTGTTATTGCTCTAATATATTGTTTAAAAGAAAATCATCTAACTTCATACCGGTAACATTACTGTAATTCCATTTTCATCAATCAATCGACATGCACGTGATTTTGAATTTGTCGTTTCAGCTGTATTTTTGGTACTGAACGGTATAATAGAATGTACATCAAATGGAATAAAAGCATGCGTTGAACATATATGACATAATTTATTGCGTAAATATTCGATAGCACACAATCGTGGTAAACTCAACTTATCCTGAATAAATGAAAGTCAGATAAAATAAACTTAAGGTTAATGATTTAATCTATTTAAATGTAAAGAAAATGAATTCAAACCTAATGAAATAGTTTATTTTTTATGAAATTGCTGAGCTATTTTAAAAGAAAAGAATTTAAATTTGATAACTTTTTAAATAATTTAATGATTTGATTTAGACAATTCCAGCTTCCCTTTTTTGCTGCTGACTTCTTTATAATATACGTTGCTCGTTTATGTAATTTGTCATTTCACTTTTTATTGTATTATATGACACATAAAACTTTATGTGTCATATAGTATAACTAAAAGTGAAATAATAAATTCAACACTCTATTTTTGATTGCATAGCAAATGAAACTGCTCAGTTGGTACTTCCATGAAATAATAAAGGTGAATATTGTCTTACAGCTGAACATATGACTCGATCATAAAGATAATCTGCCGCTGGTAATACCGGATTAGCTATCAAAGTATCAATCAACCAATGATGCAAACGTCCACCACTTCGAATAGTTTGACAAAACATTTTCTGGAAACGTATAGCAAGACAATCATTAAGTATTACAAAAATCACCTTCTGAATTTTGTAATAGCTAATAAACAGATTAAATAAAATGAAAAAAAAGTTTTGTTTTTTTTACGTAAAGTTTTAAGAAAAAATTTGCTTTACTTGGAAATCATTTTCTTCAATTTCTGCTACTGGAATACGATCACTGTCCAGAAGCATCTGTACCGAAGGCCGATCATCTGGCTTAATTTCCAGCATCCATTTGATCAATTTCTTGACAGCTTTTTGGTGTATCTAAAAAAACACAATTGACATATTTTACATGAGAAAATACTGTGTCATGTCAGTTAATAAAAACGATTTTATACCTCTAATATGCCAATCCCGAAATCAGAGGGGAAATGAACAGAGCCGCGCAGATTTTTTATTATTGCTATTCGTTCCATTCCTGGTAGAAGGGGTCGATAGAACATTTCAAATAAAACTATGCCAAGACTGAAAGAAAAGAATATCGAGATGCCAATTTATGAAACACAGATATGATCGAGATAGTTAACTGGATAAGAAATGATAAATAAGTGAATACTGGAAAATCTTTAATTTCATTTTATCTGAAATGGAATTTTAATCAGTGCCTCAATTTATCCATTCCATCCATTCATTCTAAATTCTAAATGGTGAATGAATATATAGATTATTTCATTAATTTATTCAAGTTACTGAACAACTGGATGCAGTAACTGTTGTAAAACCGAAATAATTTCGCAAAAAATTAATTGAAATAATTAAAACTGTATATAGTTTTAATTATTTCAAAACTTCTTTTGATCATCCATCTTTATTTATCACGATAATTAACTTCGTTTATTACATGATTGTAAGATGATCCTTTGTTTATTGAACTCTTTGTTTTTAAAGGATTAGAATCACGCATTTCGTGTGTTAAATGATTGCAAATATTAAGCAGATCACTCAGCTCTTTTTGTGTTCAAAAAGACCATAAATAGTGCACCTCGATACGGGCAACAGAGTTTCTAACAACAAAATAACTTTCACGACAGTAACTTGCATATTAATGGACTTAGTAATAACTATGACAACTAATCAGCTAATTATTTAAAAAATCAGTGATGGTAAAAAAGAAACTTAAGCAATAATTAAAGTAGCCGAAATGTCCAAAGTTAAACAGATAACATAATAAAAGAATGATCAATAACCTATACACGTCGATTTTGGTTGTGTAATCGATGTTTTCATTAGCCGTTGAGAGTAATTCCGGTGCAATATAAAGAGCTGTACCAATATCCTTGGTCATAGAAAAATTAATATCATATTCATTCAAAGAAGATGGATTTTTCGACATAATATCGAAAGTTGCAAGACCAAAATCACCAATTTTAGCATGATCGCTTCCATCTATTAAGATATTCATCTAAAACATTCGGTTACAAAAAAAATGAAAATGCATAATGTTATTCCAATATTGTAATAAATCTCTCTATAGGAATTTATTGCGACACTGAAATAACACTATTCCAAAAGCAAATATAATGATAACAAACTGAATGAATTTCGAGGAATAAAAAAAACCGAAAAGATCGTTCATTAAAGAAATGTTTAGGAAATAGCAGACTGAATACAGTAGTATCTAAATAACCAAGAGAGATTTCATGACTTCACGGGATCTGCAATTTGAAAAAATATTTGTAAACGTGAGACAATTTTGAATGACTCCTTCCAGCAACAAAGAATAAAAAATCCTGAGTTTAGAATTACTGTTCTCTTTTATCACAAAAATCTAAAATTACACAAATGTAACCAAAATCCGAAATCCGAGCATCCATAACCATAACGGAATATGATGAATCTGAAATTTTTATATAGTTCAAAATAAAGAAAAGTCCCAACCGGCTTAATATCGCGATGAATCATGCCTTCTTGGTGGATGTATTGCAATCCGAGTAATATTTCACGAAATAGACGCCATATTTGCCGAGAATTTTTTAGCAATTTCGAACTGTCAATTAAATTACGCAATGTAGATTTCTCACAGTATTCCATTTGAATGAACAAAATTCTTAAAAATAGTGTGGATGAACTTTCCGTTGCTGTTTCAGGTGGTGATGTTGAGGTTGCTTGCATGCTAGCATCGTTTTCATTACTCGAATCCTCATTGTCGCATTTGTCTTCAAAAAGCACTTCCTATAAATTATAAAATTGTAGACATAAATCAATCAGTTCGTACTGAGGTTGAGAAAAATACTGTTTTAGTAATTTGTGCATATCACTTGGCCCTACGAGTATAGAAATGTGACATATCACAAAGTGAGATCATCAAAACTTTTTCTAGAATTAGGTTAGAAAAGCAAGCGTCCTTGTTACTTAAACATGTTTTGATAATTCGAAAGAAATGGTTCAACAATTTATGATAATATAAATTACAAGGTATAAAAAGCTCGGTTTGATTGTACTATGTGTGGAAGTTGAAACCTACAAAATCTGAGCTTTCGACAGTACTGAGACCAGCGGGAGAGAATAGTGTTTGTACAGGCTCTTTGTGTTGCTCTTGAGAAACAGAATCCGGTTCATATACAGAAGTCATTTGGAACGACGTCGACCATTCAGCTGTCGCATCTATAGCTATACGTTTTGCCATTTTTTCAATATTCTTTATTTGCAGAGACATCAAATCTAAAAAACGCTCAGTTAGATGAATCGCAAGAAATTCATTATAAATTCCATCAGTCGATTTATTATCGCATGTATGTTGAAATGTTTTAATCACAAATCAAACCAGCTTGTGGAAAACTCATCCTAGCTTACATCGATGTTGTTACTGCATGATGCACGCATAATTAAAAAGCGATAATGAAGAGACTTAGCAATACCGCTTGCAAATTTTTCATGATAAAAATAAATTTCTCCCCAAAATACAGAGAATGCAGTCAAGTAGATGGATTGAGTTTGTGATTAAAATTTAAGATTAGAATAGTGCTGAAAAAAGTCAAGCAAGAGGAGAAGAGAAGTAAGAAATGAGTCACGCGATTATTAGTGAAAAGTTTAACTAATGTTCGAATTATGCAAGTCATCAAAATCCGAATGTAAAAGAAAGGTTGGATAGCTTAAGATGGAACAATGAATTCCAATGCTTCGAAGTTAGACCCAAGTTGAATAAATTCAACTCAGACTATAATGTATACCAACACTCATCATAAAAGTATATAACCAATACATACCTTCGGTTTTTTCTTTTTGATCGTTATCAACACTCATTTCACCATCATTATCTTCCGGTCTAGTTTCTCTTGCAGCGACAGAAGCTTGCTCAATCCAAGCACTGTAGTAACGAACAACGTTTGGATGGTTTAATTTCGAAAACAGCTTTGCTTCGCGTGTAACTTTCCGATTGAATCGTTCATCTTTGGGATCTAAGGTTATCCTTTTGATCGCATAATCATTACCATCCAACTTATTTCTACAAAAAGAAAGAAAAAAGTCGATAATTTTTAATGATATTTGCTTGAAAGCACTCAATATCATTTTAAAAAAATTAGAATATAATTTATTATCATAAAATGGAGAAATTCTGTATACGCATTCTAATTTTATCATTCTACAAAATAATACCATTAATGGTTGGCTTTGCAACCATTCGAATCATTCAAGATATTGTTGGATATTCACTGCAGCTCCGCTTGAGCTGACAATGACAACGAAATTTGATCACCGATTTGTCAAGGAAAGCTCAGTAATCTTCCAAAGAACTTTAAAAATCATTGAAAGATGCACTCAACCTTACTTCGCCAACATGACATCACCAAAACCGCCTTTCCCCAACATTTCGATAAAAACAAATTCGTTTCGGAGTCTACTGTGTGCAATTTGCTGGAATTCCTTTTTTTCATCATCAACCAAAGGCTGGGACAAATCATCTGAAAACAATCTGAATTTCCTATACTCAACAGAAGATAATTGAAAGTACTGTAATTTTATATACTTTTTTCTGAAACTGATGAATACCCCGATGTAAAAAGGTGTGTTCCATTAAGTTTTTCAAGATTCTCGTATTCCTGCAAGCCTCTATGAAGCTGTTGAGATTTAAAGAAAAATTTGCACTGTTCGCAATTGCTGAAAACTCTCTGAATTTGTTGAAAATGTTGCCCAATGAAACGAAATCATAATTTAGCAATTTATCCACTGGAAAATTGGAGGAGATATTTTCACCGATTATTTCGACACATTCTTTCATAATTTTACATTGATGCAAAAGTAGTGACCTAAAAGAAGATTTAAACATTTCAAAAAATGTACATAAAGCTTTCTAAATAATCACATCTAAATGACCACACAACATCACATCTAATCACATATTAAATTTTCATAGTTTAAGATATTTGGATTTTATTGACCAGGTTATTTCTAAAATTTGTTCCGTGACAATACTCAGCGGACAAATGATCCAAAAAATATACTTCAAGTAATAATCAGACAAACGAAAATTCCGTTTTCTAGTGATCCATATAGACGTCGGATCAAGAGCAAAATGTCCCAAGTTCCTTTCATGTAGAAATCGCAAACCATCTAAAAGTTGGACAGCAAGGCGAACTAAAAGTGTCTGAAAATTAAAAGAATTTTCAGTAATACAATGACTCTGAATGACGTAGAAATGAACTTTTGTTTTAACTTTGACTGACGTGAAAACTTTTCACACTAACTCATGACTTTAATTCTTTTGAATATCTAAGTTAGAAGTTGTAACAAAGGATAATAGTTTGAATCTGTTAAATCTCTGAATTTAGATATTCAAAAAAGTGAGTATTGGATTTCACCGTAGCAAAATTTCTATAAATAGCAAAATTTCTATAAATCGCTCAACTCACTTACTTTATCGGTTTCGAAAACATCGAACTGAAATGATAAATTTCGGTCATTTCCATTGATATTTTGGCCAATTACAATACTGCAATCAATTTCAAGCTAATTGACATTGTAATGAACAGTTGCAGAATTTTTCCGATATAAACCTTACTCTCGTTGTTTAATCATCTTGGGAAAAACTATAATGCTGATACATCTATTCAATGTTATCCATAATAAATATTTCCAGAAATAGAAAAAATTAAATCAATAAATTAAAGCTTACGAAGCATTGACTTCTGAAACTGTCAATTTATTCTTCTGCACACAAAGCAATTCATAACTGTATAGTGCTGGCTCAGTAACAGAAATTTTTGAAATTTCTTGTAATTTCCTTTCCAACTGTTCGAAATAAGCGATAAAAGGTTTAAGCGATGATAGAGGCGGTTTGGCCTTCGCCACAAATGTCCATTCCATAATAAAAATTTCATGACCCTAAAAACTAATCATAAACAACACACTATCATGTACTATGAAAAAAAGCATGAACAAGAACTAACTGATTCATCTGATGATATCAAATGCACTTGTGAAAGTACATCCATATTATATGGACATAAAGCATAAATATTTTATAGCCACTAGAGCTTTTTTTTCGCATTTTTGAATTATACTCCTACAAATTTTTTTTTAATTTTCAGAGTCAAATCAAATTGATTTATACGCCTCTGTTCGATGTACTCTATGCATAAGAGTTTTTAAAGTTGTAGGCTGTGACTGGATCTTAATCTCGTATTCCGATATTTCCACCATCAAGAAACTGCTTCTTCTCTCGCGCCTTGGCTCCCTACTATTAAAAATATTTTTGAATTACCGTGATACAATCCACAGCTGACCATTCTTGACAAAATGGACTAATGTCTGGCCGTCTTTTGAAATTATTTGTATTTTTGGTCAACCTCCTTTGTATACCATCGATACAGGAGAAAGTTCTGCATAAACTATCATCAATTACTGCCGTGGGTTCAGTTTCTTCCGCCTTTCGCCACATTAATTTTTCTTCATGCATTTTTTGAAATGCCACAACATCATCGCGATCACGTTGTTCCGACCTAACTTGCTGCCGCTGAAATATAGAAAAATATGTTTAGAAATCTTTCAAACTTAATGAGAAAATATGTCTTAAATCACCACATTACAATACCTGTAATAAAATTATATGTGAGAGTAGGCAAGAAATGTCATTACCTTCCGTTCATGTTCGACTGCTGCATGTTGCTGTAACATGCCGTCGAAAAAAGATCCTTCCGGAGGTTTATTTCGTTCATACAAAAATTCTTGAATTATCTGACACAACTCTAGAATAATTTCCTGAAAATTTTCATTCATCAGAGGCTTTGTAATTACTCATTTAAATTTGAACATCACAGAATAAAAAAAAGTGATGAATAGATAAAATGAAATATTCACGTTTCCTTTCAGTGATGCTGCTTTATTGTCTAATATCTGCTTAATTTTGTCGACATCTTTCAGTGAAATGCCTTTCACATTTTCTAGCGTAAGTAACGGTGTCCTGTAAATAGTGTCGAAAATTGGGAAAAATTATTTAAAAGATAGACGACTCTCTCAACAAATCTCTTAAAGCTTTAAAAAAAACGATAAAATTTAAAGACTAAAATCTGCGTTAAAAATCATGAAGGCTAGGAATATTAACATTGCTTTAAACAACATAACAACAATACTGTAATACTTATAAAACTACAGAAGAGTAAACTGCAGTATAAAAATGTTGCAACATACCCAGATAATGGATACGTTTTTGGACATTTTACGTGAAGATCTAATGAGACATAGATTTTGCCGCTGGTACTGCTACCTGATCCAATAGGTTTCAGGTGCAGGATGACATTAAGTGGTTGCCATATCTACAAAGCAGTCAATCACATCAACTAATAATTTGCTTCAATGAAGCTTCCAAGTGAACAAAGAAATAAATATAATTAGAGAGGCCTTTTATATCCTATTTCACCACAAACAATGATCTCCAATCTAATCAATCTTTTCAACAAACCTTCCAAACATTTTGGGCAGCATCAACGAAGTCTTCACCATATACGGATTCCAACACCAGACGTTCATCTCCTTGCCGCCTTTTAGCGTCATCTAATGTTACGCTCATGTCACCAGCTACACCACTTCGTTGCATCATCGATCTATGATAAAATTTCCTCTGCTTAACGACTTTATCGACTGTTTCTTATCATTGACCTAAAAATTACAATAATTAAAATTACAATGCTATCAATAAATTACAATGCTATCAATAACCAATAACAATCATACTTGACTATTCGAGAACATAAAGTCTCAATAAATATATGTAGTCCAGAACACTTGATAGGTTCAGTACACGCGATTTATTACCATAATTAAACAGCTATAGAGATTTTTGAAAGGATAAATTATATGTATTACTCTCAAAACATGCACATAATTTTGCTAGATAAAATTTTAAGCAAAGGGAGAAAGTTTAAAAGAATGATAAAAAACATGGAGAGTAATCTAAAATAACTTGAGTTCAAACTTAATTTTAAAATCATTATCTCCTTTCAAGTACTACAATGGATTTCTGCCAAGCTGCCACGGCTACATGCGATCATTTTAAACTCTAACACTCTCTATTAAATCAATCTTATCTGTCACTAATACCTGTTTCTACTCTCAACCACTTCTTCAATCAAGAAGCATTTCTTTGCATAGTTCTCTAAATTTCTACTTTATTGAACTTCTGTCAGTGTATACTTTCAAGTCTGCAGCGAAGTTTCCCACTATCGCCCAACGTCTGTCATGTAGTTTTCCTAATCTTTGCCACAACCAAACTGCTCATCACGAGACACTTCCAAACTCTGCTTCAATTAACATTTTTATGCTCTCTAATAATTCTCTTCATTTCATTTTCCCCATCTCCCCTCCTTGGCTAATTTAGATCCTAACTGCATAAAATTTTCAAAATCTCGTGGCCGTATCCGACCCGCGATTTGTTAGCAGACCGATATCATAATTTACGAGTATCTCGCTGTGCGATTCGTGATTGGTCTGCTGCAGTGATTTAACTATGGTTTTATGTCGAGATTTTATCGAACGGTGTCTGCTTTTGCCAGAATTTTTCCGCAGGAGGGAAGATGTGGGAGTCTTTGAATTAAGGGAGCTAATTCTTGCTTAATCTTTGAATTTAAGTTTATTGATTTGATTTCTTAGTCATATTGTTTTAGTCAATGAATAGACAATACATTGATAGATCGACTCGTAGAATACCGCGATGGGTGTAACCACAACCGACAACGACGAACAAGGAGCAAGTGAAATGGCAGCTGCGAAACCAAAAGAACGACAATTCCAGGTTATTTAAATTTGGATTTCGACTGAGATCGTTTAACTTTCTGAAGGCAACAATATTGCGATACTAAACTTAATCAGGTGAAAACATCAAATTATTGGGGCCAAGGCAACCAGGATGGTAAATTTAATGTAGCAATGTACTTCCAGTATCTCCAGAATCTTTAATATATACTAATGAAATCTTCCCATCGTTGTTGCAGATAGATACTTCGTAGCATACCTGGTATGTTTAATAATGTATGTATTTGTTAATGTGTAATAAATCTCGTTTAAATTAAATTAGTATTGTTTGTACAAATATATATATGTTCTTTTGTTATTTATTTATTTATTTATCTGCATATTTTAGGTTGTCCCTGTTCCAGGGACTTTTACTCGCGGACGTTGGAAATGTTGGGATTATAAGGATAAAACATCGGAAACTGGTGCAGTTATTGATTTTACAGATAAATCAGACAAACATTCGTTATGTAAGTTATTGTAACAATCTATTTAAATTACGCTTCATTTCTGTATTTTCTTCGAATTGTCATGATAAAACTACAACGAATTTCCAGTTTGTAGAAGTTTGAGAAGGAAGGTGCAGAGACAAGATTTTTTTTCATAAATGCACTTTTATTTTCATCGTTTAAAGATTAGTGAGAGAATATTTAGAAAATAAATGTTATAAAATTGCTCTTACAACCTTTGATGGGACGTGAGATGTGGTAGGCTTTATTTTTAGCATTTCAGTTTTTATTTCTGGTTGACAAATAATGAGATTGTTTTTCGATTGAACCCATAATAAAAAGTGCATTTAGTTCTATTCTTAACCTCAACCATTTTTAGCTGTACCGTTGGCAATAAATATTTTCTGTAATACCGCCAACGCTTAAAATATATAATGGATGCATGTTGGAATCATTCAATCTTAACTTTGATATACCGCTTCTATCTCAACAGCTAGTCAATTAAAATTCTCTCTTTTGCTATAGACCAAGAAAATTTTCTGAACGGAAATACATTTTATAGAGTATTACAATGGGAATTTGAAGCCTACTGCATCAAACTAAGCTATTTGTTATAATAACTTGTCCTGAAAAGTTATATCTTTTTATAGCAATCAGTATTGGCGAAAATCCTGTTGGATGTCGAATTTTCGTTCCCCACGGCCAAACAGATACAATAAATCATACAATAAGTGAACCATATTTGATTCCAACAAGTGATACGAGCAGCGCAGGTTGTGGTTTTATTCTCCTTTTCTATAATAATCTCATCCTCAATGTCTTTTTGCTCAGAAGTTTTTGGATTTTCGATATAGTTTTCTTCCAAACTGAGAATCGACTGTTAAATGGAAAATTGAAGTTAGGTTTAAATGAATTCTGATTTCGAACATATTATGAAGCGGGTTTCGTTAAACTTCAAACAACTAACTGCGATGTTGCAGTTTATTAAGAAAATCAAATAACGAGCAAAATCCATACTGATATTTTCAGCAATATCACAAGCGATTGATGTATCGAATGTGGGAAAAGAATCCAGTACAATCGTTGTTACATCTATTGCTCCTCCATCGGCAACTCCAGTACATGGTACTCCATCTTCAGCTAGTATTTCTCCTGTGATCAGTAATGTAACTATTGCTGAAACTAAGGTATTTTTTGATGCAATTACTACTTTTTAAGCTAGTTCTCTTATGAAGAAAAAATCGGTACTGCTCAATTATTCAGCAAAGTTCTTCACTTACTGTTGTCAAAAATTAACCTTAAAGAGTTAAAGAACATAATAACTTTTTTCTCTGCCTGCTAGAATATTTGGAAATATGCTTTTATATGCACAACATTTTGAACTTGTAGAGTTAATATCCTGATATGCTAACCATAAGTGACAGTTATCAGTGTTTATATTCTTTCATTAATAATCAGCATGAATTTTTTTGTGCACATTCTTTCTTTTTTTCAGGGGAAAATCCCAGATCAAGAAAATTTATTATCACTACAGACTACAGCGTCGTCACCCGTTCTTAACATTGGAGGAGTGGCACCAGCTCATACACCCCAGATCTACCGGACGCCATCCGCTACCACTTCTTATCTGCAACCCCTATCGGTTTCTATCAATTTAGATTTTTTTCCTTTCTAAGTCTATTCGTTATGCAAATTTGAAATATCTTAATCTTATGATATTGAAATTGATTTATTTCTTTGGCTGTCCAACTGAACATAATAAGTGCTTGATGCCCATTACGTTTTTTTCGATCTCCTTAAGATTAAAACACTCCAGCTATGACTGCTCTAAATCGTCGCGTTGTTCCGATAATTCAGTCTATACCTCTACATACCATTTTTGGCGATCCTATTTCTTCTCTGACGCTCATTCCCAAATGGGATATCTGGCTGTTGTTATTAAATTTGGCAATACTTTTATCTAGCAAAGTTTTGCAAAACAATTGATATCGATTTCAGGAAATTCCCGATAATGTGGTTCAACCATCATTTACTGCCGAACCGGTTGCAACAAATGTACCGCTTGCTGCAACTGAAACAGATGATCCGTAAGTTTTCTCTCTTTTTATGCTTAAAATTTTCGTCATATTGAATTTTAACGGATATATCATGTCCAAAATTAGCATCTTTCAAAATTTCCCGTAAAATTTTACAGATTTTCAGAAATATTGAAGTAATTTATGTGCACTTTTCTGTCAGGTTTCTATGGTAAGTTATTCAGCTCCTCCTAGCAGTTTTCTAGTGAGAAGAAATTTCAAATCTGCTAGGTTGTAGAATGACATCGCAGTTCTTTCATAGCAATATATTATAAAAATCATTATTCTTTCTAATATTACAGATGCTGTTCATCCTTCAAATCTAATTTAATTTTAGGGCGGTTTGATTGTAAAATTAATCGTATATTAAAATTTTTTTTCTGGGTAAAATAAAAGTATTTATCAAGTGAAATCTCAAGAATGAAATAAAAAAAGAAATGTTTGTTATCGCTTTTGAATTTTTCCACACTATATATAAATGAAAAAGATGAGATGTATTCAAGTACCGTAGGGAATATTACGTTAGTTGCAGGTTACTATAATGTTATGCTCTCTAGTATTGCTTAAAGGTTCTTTTCTTAATTTTATCGATCAAAGAATGAATCAGCAAAAACTTAGGATTTATTTGATTTTGACTTTGCTTGCATGAAATATTCTTTGAATCGAGAATTGTGTGGTTATGAAATGATTAAGTTCTTTACTGTATTTTTTCCACTGGAGCATGTATTGCACTTTATTGAATTCATAGTCAACCTGCATCAATTCTGTACTTCAGTTATGTTTGCTTAAAATTTTTTTTCAGTAATGATGAAACAACATATTGTGCTCTAAATGTTTGGATAAAATGAAGTGAGCTATACTTGTAGACGTGCTGGAGTTGTTTCTACTTTTTGTGTATGTAGAAGTTGATGATGTATTTGGAAGCTTGAAAACAATTAGGACTCCATTTTTATACTAATGATAGTAACGAGCTGTTTCTTTTTTTTGTGTGTATAGAAGTTGATATATTTTAAGTTTGTGAGCACTGTAAATTAGAATTGCAATTGGCTTATGGTAGTGACGACTGTTTCAATCAGTAAATTCGCTGTTCCTTGTTTCCCTCAAGTTTTTTAGATAGTGTTTCAGCTGCACTAATAAGTAGTAATTCTAGCCAAACTTTGTTGTTCTTTATTAGATCTTTATTAGAGTGATAAAAATAGTACTATGAGGTTAGTATTCCATTCAAAGCTTCTCTGAATTGTGATTTAATGTAATAATGATAATGTATGATTGGAATGAAATTCTGGCCAGCAGCCGTTGTTTATATCGCAACCTTCCTTGGCAATAACAGCGCTTCTGATGCTAATAATAAATGTGATAGTGCTGGAATGATAGAATCCTTTCACTCATTTTTCCAGCAAATTATTATTGTGAAAAATAGGGCTATCAACGATTATTATGCGTAAAAAGCCTTTTCAGAAGAATTTTCCAGCTGTTTGTGGCAAGTTAGTGGTATCGTTCACTGGGACTTTTTACTTTTTGCACATAATTTTCATGCATGCAGTGCTCCCCACTACAGTATATCATGATTTCAATATTTGAATATTTTAATTTTCTGTAGATTAGCAGTTTTTTATTTTAATTCTTATATTTGAAATACTTTTTGAGGGGAAAAAAGTATGGAAGAAATTAAACAAATAAGATTTTGGGAATTTTTCTTAGCTCAAATAGAATTTTTTTGCAAGTATGCGTAGAGTAGTGATATATTGTAAAATATTCATTGCTTCCTTTTGTTGTTGTGCTTGTCACTGCAGTAGTAGAGCAATATGAATGATACCCATTTTCCAGGAAGGATGGGATTAATTATCACCTTACTCCAATGTTATAACTAATTTGGCTGTTTTCAGTTGCCAAAAGAACCTAAGCATATTTACTGTTGGTATTTTTTTTAAAGCTCTGTCTTATGTGATGTTCAGATTAATGTGAATTGTATTCCAGCAAGTAAGAATTCAGAGTTGGCTCGGATATAGTAAACCAAGAAAGATGGATCGGTTTTTATAACTTCCAAATTCAAGTTGGTAAAACTCTTCACATATTATAGGAATGATGAGCAGCATCAAATAAGAGTAAGAAAACTATCTCTTAACTGTTTCATTGTACATCTTTGTAATCGGATAAAGTTACTGATTTAGGAGTAGTGCTGCTACACGTGGTGCAGGGTTATAAAGTAATAAGGGATCCTAGCTGTTTCATAAATCTGCTGGAGATTATCATTTGTAAATAAATTTCGAATCGATTAATTGATGAGTAAGCACACAATTATTAATTTATTGGATGATATCTGAAAAATCGACTTAACAAAGATGTAACATCGTGACAAGTTTCTGTTGAATGTAAATAATAATCAAAGCAGACTAGTGTTGAAATCACCTGGCGTGATCGAAATAGATAACAAATAATGCACTGTAGGAACATAATGTTAAAATTTGTGCGTGGGATTCAGATAAACAATAATAGCATATCAGTTGAAATCATCAGTTTTAAATGAATATCAAAAGAGTTTCTCTTTGTACTGGAGAGAATCGACAAGCACTGAAGTTATAATATCTCGCTCTCTACGAATGGTTCTTTTACAAAAGCTTTTTGAGTGAAAAATATTGCAGCTACTGCTGTAATCTCTTTGGCTTTGTTGTCATTCTTTGAAAAACTTGATAAGTCCTCTGTAAAGAAGTGTAGTATTTATGAAGGTTTGAAAGATCATGAACAATTAGGGATACTGTATTGCTACATACATCCATGTTTCATGGACTTTAGGGACAACACGGACGTGATTAGGTTTAGTGAAATATTTTCATTAACTTTCGAAAATCAAGAAGAATACGTGGAAAAAGTGTAGTATCTTCAATTTCTGAGTTTTTATGCGATGTGTTTCATAAATTCTCATACCTTGTTGATCATGAAGTATGTCGCATGAGTGAAGCAGAAATTCGATAAGTAGGGGGAGACCATTGATATTTCTGGGGGAACTGCAGGAAGAGTCAAGATTGCGTTCTAGGAATATGAATTTCAATTTCTCAAGTTTTTTATTAATTTGCAGATTATTAATTCCTTTTCAGTTGTCATCTAGCAATAAAATTTAATTAGTTGAATTAGTAAATTATAATTATTCTGCACCACTTGCCGTTTTTGTTTTTGGTTTTTTTGTTTTAGTTGTCAATCGGTAATTCTTTGTTGTTTTGAAATTTCTGCAACAAAAGTTGTTAACTTGCATATTTTAAAGTTTCGAACCAATAAATGATCACTGTAATTTCAAGGGGCGAAAGGAAGTTTGTTGTGATCTTCGATGTTTCGTGAAGTTTTTAGGGCGAACTTTACAATGCCGAAATTTAGTTTATTTTCATTTATTCATTCCACGAATGCAAATTGTTATTCATATGAGAGTGTTAGATTGAGTTTGACTGATTTTCCAAAAATTTTTTTTGAGAAAGAAGAGGGAAAGAAAAAATGTTGACTTCGTTTTTGTGTTATTTGGTGAAGCGAAGAGGAGTGGTGAAAGTTTGTCGGAAGATGGGTAGGAGGTTGTTGCACTTTCAGAATTGACACCGTTTCAGAAGTTGGATGCAAAATTTAATTAAAGTGTCATTTAAACAGTTTGATTAGATTATGCCTTTTTGGCGGTAAAAGGAAATTGATATAGAACTATTTTTCAGCAAGTTGTACAGCATGCTTATCCATAAACGTGAGGTGAACCAGATGTTTATTTTGATTTTTATCATGCCAACTGGTTGTTTAGTAAATTATTCATAGAATTTGATATGAACGCTAAAATTTTTTGATTAATCTTTGCTAGAAATGTGTCTAAATAATACTGAAATAGTCTTCCCTCTGGCTGATGCATTTTATAAGGTCTCAATGATAAGATTAAGATTCATAGCAAAGACATAGCGAAGTGCAGACGAGGGTTTTCTTTTTGTATTATTTAACACATTTATTTATGGAATTTTGTTGACAGCTTAACTGGTAAATGAAAGTTCGAGATAAGGAGAAGGTGGAGGAAAAAGATGAATGCAAGTTTCCTAGAGGATATTATAAGGCTTGGTGGAAAATGATACTCGAACAGGTGTTTACTTTGATTTTTGATGTATTTTAGCTAGCCAATTGTTGACTAATTATATATTGAGTTTGATGTAAACAACAGGAATAAATTTTTATTAGAAAATAGTTTAAAAAGTTGCTACTGGAAGTAGCTGAAAATATAAAGTTAGAATAGAATTCTACTTCTTCAGAGGATTAAAATTTTTTATTCCAGCCAGAAATAAAAATTAAATTATGGATATCTAATTTACTCTTGCTGATTGCTATTCAATATAAACATTCGCGATTATTTCCTTTGAAAAAAAATTTTGAAGAAATCGAAAATACATTGAAGAGAATATTAGAATGGCATCAAATTGTGGTAACTTGTGTGTAAATTGAGCATCATTATTTGTTGCTCATACATCGTTGCATAAGCAGTACTAGTAGTGACTCTTAGAGTCACTTAGGGTCAAATAATCATATTGGATTTCATTAAGTTAGAAATTTTTTCAAAAATCTTTGGAAAGGATTTTTTTTTAATTACTTTTTTTTCCTTTTTCCGAACAGTTTTTGTATCAGCGAATTCCATGCTGTCAGATTCTTCGGAATTTTGAAGGACCATAATTTAATTCATAAGGGAGTAATTAACTTGATATGTACAAAGCAAATGAATCAGATATGGAAAGCTTCTTGCATTGAATCTCAGATGATTGGCTTGCGGAAGCTTTGGTGATAAGCTGAATATTAAATGTTTTAAGAATAACCACAGAACATATCATATTAAATGTAACTGTTTCTTACTCTGATTTATGAGTAAACAGATTTAAATTTTACTGCAGCTTCAGTAGTTAGAAAAATATTTCTAAATCGTTTTTTATAGGGCTTTTCTAAGCAGGGTGAAATGGATTGCAGTGAAAGTGTCAAATCAAAAAAAAATACCACTAAGTCTGTTTTTCGTAC